AAACATGTTCTTTTTATTAGCCTCTCTTTAAAAATAAGCTTATGTCACATTGTTTTGTTAGCCTGCCCTTTCCCTAGCATTCATTGGTGCCTATTTGGCATGCAGCATGCTAATATTAGGTATATAAACTTTAATGAATGGGATTTTCCCTACTTGCTGTGCAAAAGGCTTACTGTATAATCCCTGTTATAGGTTGCATCTTGCCTGTTTGAACTACATTTCTTTTGGTGTTCTATATTTTTATGTAATAGATATTCCAGTAGGTGCTAACCAAGGATACCTGCCTACTTTTAACTTTGCTATATTGCTGGCCTATTTGTAGAAGGTATTTGAGTCAGCTTGAAATCAAGATTTAACAAAACTGAATATTGTTATATTCAGAGCCCAACAAAGAAAAAAGGAGGGTAGCCTTTAGAGACATGTTCAAGCTCACTGTGATAGCATTACCAACATGAGTAACATCAAGCAGAGGCAGACAAACAAACTCATTTAATAGATATTGATTCTCTTATAAAATAGTGGTTCTTAAAGTATGGTCTGAGAACCCTCCATGGAGTTCAAGATCCTTTTAGAAGGGCTGTGAGGTCAAAATTATTGTCATAACGTCTTTTTTTGTTTTTGTTTCTTTTTTTTTCTCATTTTGTAACAAGCATACAGTGGAGTTTTCCACAGGCTACATGAAATATAACACTGGAACAGGTTGGATATGGGCAAAAATGAGAATCCAGCTCTCTTCTATTAAGTGACATTAGATTAGCAAAATGTAAAACAGTGACATGCTTCACTATGTTTTTGGGGGGGAAATACTTCGAAACTCTTTTTTAATCCTCACCTGTCTTCAGATAGGGAGGGAGGGAGGGAGGGAGAGAGGGAGGGAGAGAAATATCGACCTGAGAGAGACACATCGAATGGTTGCCACCTACACGACCCCAACCGGGGCCAGAGACAAACTGCAACTAAGGTACGTGCCCTTAGTGGGAACCGAACCCGGAACTCTCCGGTCTGCAGGCTGACGCTCTAACCACTGAGCAAAACCGGCCAAGGCCTTTAAAACTTTTTAATGTGGAAATACTGAAATGAAATACTCTTGGGGGCTTTAGAACTGCAGGATAATTTGAAAGCTTATAGCAGAAATCCAAATCCTAGCCAGTGAAAATGATTGGTCTTATCTTGGTCTTACAGAGCAAGTCTTCACTAAGCCTAGTTTTCTTGATATTTAGGTCGGTATCTCTTCTTAAATGCAATTGCAAATCAGCTGCGGTACCCAAATAGCCACACTCACTACTTCAGTTGCACCATGCTCTACCTTTTTGCAGAGGCCAACACTGAAGCTATCCAAGAACAGATCACAAGGTAAGAGAGAGGTTTGTTTTTTGGATGCTTTTTAAATTGTGCCTCTTCCCCTTTATTCTGAGTTTTTTTCCTGTGCATTGAGCATGATGTTCATTGAACATCTTTTTACATGGATTGAAATGTAGGATATAGTTGTGAACAAAATGGACATGGTTTCTGCCTTCCCAATAATTAGTCTGAATCACAAGCGATTACATGTCATAATCATTGCTGAAGTAAAAAGTTTTCAACAAAAGACATCAGTGTTTTGACTTAAAGTCATTGTGGTGGTGGGGTCGCAATTTTTTTTTATTTTTTTATCCTCACCTAAGGACATTTTTGCATTTATCTTCAGATAGAGCGGGAGGGAGAAACATTGATGTGAGAGAGACACATCGACTAGTTGCCACCTGCACAACCCCAATTGGGGACAGGGACAAACCGCAGCCGAGGTAACATGCCCTTAGCAGGACCTGAACCTGGGACTCTGGTCTGCGGGCTGATGCTCAAGAACTGCTGAGCCAAACCAGCCAGGGTGGGGTCGTAACTTTTAATCAGAGTCCCAAGTTACACGGGCCTAATATTTAAAGCCATGTTAAAGTGTGTAGATTTCTTTATTACCTGTAGTTTAAGTTTTTTAAGCAGCAGAAATAATAGGATCATACTTGTGTTATCCTGATAATAGTGAGGAATCTCTTGGACTGTGTGTGGCATTGGAGATTCGAGTAACGGAGATACACAGACTTGAAAGAATGGGCCAGGCTTTTATTTATTTATCCTCACCCAAGAACATTTTTGCATTTATTGTTCAGATAGAGTGGAAGGGAGAGAGAGAAACATCGATGTGAAAGGGACACATCGAGTGGTTTCCACCCGCATAACCCAACCAGGGCCAGGGACAAACTGCAACTGAGGTACGTGCCCTTAGCGGGCACCAAACCCGGGTCTCTCTGGACTGTGGGCCGACGCTCTAACTGCTGAGCCAAACCGGCCAGGGCTGAGCCAGACTTTAAAAAAAATGTTTTATTGATTTTAGAGAGGAAGAGAGAGGGAGAAAAAGATAGAAACATCGATGAGAGAAAGATCAGCATTGAACAGCTGCCTCCTGCACACCCTCCACTGGGGATGGAGCCTACAACCTGGGCATCTGCCCTGAGCATAGGTCAATGCCTAGCCACTGAGCCACACTGGCTGGGCCAGACTTATTAAACTTGCCCCTTCACCTAATAGTAATTTGTTGGTATTAGGTAACAGTGTTCCTTAGATTTATATACCAAAAATTAAGTAGTGATAATATCCTATCTTGTGATTACTTATAAAGCTATAGTAAGCGTCCTTGTACTTAAATCTTTGTTCTTGTGTTTTATTATTTTCTCGGTAAATTTAGAAATACAGTTGGTTAGGTAAAAGATGAATATATAGGCCAATACTAATTTCCATTCAGTATTCGAAATTTGTTTCCGATTTCCTTTTATTGAAGCATCCTTTTTGCACTATGTAATCTGATAGTATCCTTAACTTTTCTAGGCAGAATTCAAGCCCAGGTTCCCTAACTCTAGAATCCACCTACATTAACCATGCTATATAGAGAGATTAATCTACTTGGCTTTAGTAAAGCTAACAACCTTTTGTTGTTGTTGATCTTTATCCGAGAATATTTTTCTATTGATTTTTTAGATACTGGGGGCGGGGGCATTGATGTGAGAGATGCCATGATTGGTTGCCTCCCTGACCAGGGCTGGGCATTGAACCTGCAACCCAGGTACGTGCCCTTGACTGGGAAACAAACCCTAGACCCTCCAGTCTTCGGGCTGATGCTCTAACACCGAGCCAAACTGACCAGGGCAAGCTATCAACTTTTGCATGTAGTTTAATAATCAGGGAGAAGAGTTAAGGGAAAAAAGGAATGTAGTAATGGTCCTAAATTTGTATGTTTTTCTGTGCATTAACTTATTTCTCCCATTCTCCAGGGTTCTCTTGGAACGGTTGATTGTAAATAGGCCACATCCTTGGGGTCTACTTATTACCTTCATTGAGCTGATTAAAAATCCAGCATTTAAGTTCTGGAACCATGAGTTTGTACACTGTGCCCCAGAAATTGAAAAGTAAGTTAAAAGTAGTGTTTTAATTGTCTAAGGATGAGACAGAATTGAGAATCATTTGATGGCTTCAGCCTGGGTGGGTGATTAAGAAGGCAGAAGTTGCCAAAGCTAATGAGACAGAGTACTCAGGCCTGAAACTTTTCTCACAAACTTGTAACTCTTTTCTTCAGGTTATTCCAGTCCGTTGCACAGTGCTGTATGGGACAGAAGCAAGCCCAGCAAGTAATGGAAGGGACAGGTGCCAGTTAGACGGAACTGCTTTTCTGTTGTAAATGTGTCAGCCTGGATGTCCCACAGCACCAAGTTCCTAAACTGGCTGAGGAATTCTTTCAGTTCTTCCTGACTTTCCCAGCCCCTTGGTTCTTGGGTATCTGCCCCAATTACTGTTTGGGTCAGCTTCCTGTCTATGTGGGCACGTTCCAAAGTTTAAATGCATTTTTTTTTGACTCTTGGCCAAAATTTAGAAAATGCTGTGAATATCATTTTGAACTTGTGTAAATATATGACAGAGAAAACCTTTGTCTGGAACTTCTTGGATTTGTGCAAAATATGTCCAAGGCAAGTATATAAACTGGTACCTGCCCAGCTTATAATTCAAGAAGCTGCTGCCATGTACTTGTCTGGGGACATAGTTCCATGCCTTCTGACATTCCTGGTGTCCCAAAGAAGTAGCAACAAGGCCAGTTTAAATATTATGTAACTTATTTTTTTAATGGGACAGGGGACCTTGAAAATCACACAATTGTTTTAAAAAATGTGGATGTGATAGAATTTAGCTCACAATTGCAATCCCATGGGGTTTTGCTTTTTGTCCCTTCTCCAAATCTAAAGCTGACTGCTGGAGAGCATCATTTCCTCATTTTTGCTGGAGAACGTGCTGTTTTTATAAAGGGAAACCAGACCAGGCCTAAAGCTCCCCATCTCTCCTGATTCTGTAAACTGAAGGGAACCTATGAAATGAAAGCCCTTCCCCTCTTTATGCCAGGCTAAGTTGAGTAACAACAGAAAGTCAAAAGGACCAATACAGCCCCTTTTGTAAGGATTTTGACTGTTTTGTAAATGTATTGGTCCAGTGTTAATACTTTGTAGCCTTTCTAGTTTCCTGGGCTTTAGCTCCCCTACTTCTTGTATGTGTATACATACTGTAGTCAACGCAAACATTAAAGTCATGACACATGTGGGAGTTCACTGTGCCTTTTCTCAGGAGCAGCAGCCAGTAATGATGGTGAGGAGGAAAGTAGACAGCCCACCCTTGCAAAACCCAGGGTCTTTGGGGGTCACCAGCTCCTTGCTGAATAGTAGAGCTCTCCCAGTACATTTGAACATGTTTGGCATGTTCAGACAAGCAAAGTGGTTTTTTTTTTTCTGTTCTTTTTAATAGTATAAAATTGTTAGAGCAGGTTGCTATGGTTAGACATTATAAAATGCCTTTTATTTTTAAAAGAAAGTATATATGTAAAACTTATCCCACTTATACTTTATACATTTAATGGCTGTCAAGTTTTATGGCCAGAGAGGACAAAAAGGTCTAACATTAAATAGTAGAAAGTCTTCCATGAAGCAGGCTTGAATGTCATGGGTGTCTAGGACTTCTTCTCTGGGGGTGAGTTGTGCCAGGTAGAGCAAACTTCAGACTGCTGTGGAATTCAAACAAATGCTCTGAGTACCAGTATTAAATTCTCTAACAGGAAACACAGTCTTTAAAATTAGAGCAACATGCTCAAAATAGACCTCAGTTTTAACCAGGTCTACTTTCATAGTCTGTTATTCAACAGGACCTTTTACTATCACAATCACATTTCTGCTAACTTTGGTTCAAACTGAGAACAAAAAGTGTATTGGTCTAAAAAAATTTTTTTTAAATAACAACAATGGTAATAACAACAAAAAAGTGTATTGGTCTTGGTGACAATTAGCAGTGATTCCCAAGTGTGCCGTTCCCAATCCTTATTAGACCTGTCTCCTTACTTCACAGTTCATCCTAGCACACTTTTGCTCCTTTTCCTTTTGGTATTTCATAAGAGAGAAAAGATCCAAATTTTCCTTCTTTTCGGGCATCAGTGAACTTGGCTTATAATGAAGTCTTCATGGATGTTCCTTTAGGCACTAGAGAATCCGCTTAGCTTAACTTGTCAGTTCCAGCAACTGGTGTAAAATCATCTTCTGACCATAACGAACCTGTAAGGCCTGCTGTTCCCTCCAGCTGAGTTTGGTGTAGACCTCCTTGTTACTGAGTAAATCTTGCTCAGTTTTTAAGTCTGTGGCATAGGTTTGCAGGGTCAACAGAACACTGTCCCGAAGAAGCTGTCTCCATGATTCTTTGAGCTTGGGGATATTTGTCATTGTCAGGCTGTCCTCTTCCCTTTCATCATCTCCCCAACCGTCCTGGTCTTTAATTTCTCTGAACTCCTCAGTAGGCATGCACAATACCTAGGAGTAACCACAGGGCCTTTTAATTAGGTTGTGCTACCTGTGTATTTCTGAAATTAAAGTAGAGAAGCTAGGCTATCTTGGCTTGGCAGTATTCAAGCATCTTCCATTCCTCCCTCACCTGGCTCTTTAACTAGTTCTTTTTTTTTTTTTTTAATCTTCACTGGAGGACATTTTTGTATTCATCTTCAGATAGAGAGGGAGAGAGACATCGACTGGTTGCCACCCACAGGACCCCAGCCGGGGCTGGGGACAAACCACAATTGAGGTACGTACCCTTAGTGGGAACTGAACCCAAGTGTCTCTGGTCTTTAATCTGGCCAGGGCTAACTAGCTCTAAATATGCAGGCTGCTGTCAGCATTAAATGATCATTTTGGGCCCTCTACCTTTAGTGTGGTAGTCAGTTCCTCTTCAGTCAGCACTTTTTCCCACCCAATCACAAAGGCTCCCTCTTCCCCTACCATCTCCAGTTTGCATAAGTAATCCCAGCGTTCGAGGAGCAGGAGCCTTTCAGCTTCAGCTTTTGTTCCTGTAGATAGGAAAGTAAAAGTGGGAAGTCTGAGTATATCAAAGAGCTCATTTCTTAGTCTACCACCTACCTTGTACAATCAGACACTCACCCTGTAATGCTGCTTCACGAACCGTCACCATCTGAATGTCAGCTGTGTCATCTGTGTTGTCAGGGTATGGTTCAACAAAACCGTACATATGAATCAGCTGCCAATTAGCCATTTGCCCATACGTGTTGAAGATCTCATGGCCCTTAGGAATGGGCTTAGTAGCCACCATCCGAAGATAATTCTGGAGTGGAAGGGAGATGCTGGGACCAGGCCCTCTCCAAACCAGCCCTATTATTCCCCTCTTAGGGTCTTCCAGCAGGTATAGATCAGCAATGGGACTAATGTTGTGCCAACCAACAGTAACTTTCCACATATTAACAAAATAGATAAAATCACTGGTATCATCCTACACTGCTGACCTGCTGTCCACATTGGTTCCCTGGCATTGTGCAGAGCAGCCAACCTCCAGCACCAAGTAAAGGATGGTAGTCAGGTACATAGAGGATTAACCACAACTTTTGAGATGTTTTGTGCTCAAACTATTTCACTGGGATATGCGAATGAATGCATACAGGAGTAGCTAACCTCACCTACTCCTTTTCTGGTGGAAGAAAATGGTGCCCATTTAGCCCAATTGCCAGGTGGGCATAAATAACAGGCACTGGTTTGCATCATGCCCAGTCAATGCAAGTAAGAACAGGAACTGGGAAGGGTCCACTCACTGGAGAGTATTCTAGATTGGCATTGTGATCGGGTAAGTGGTTCAGTATGTCTGCAGCAGGCACCATCAAAGGGGGGTTTGGCTCCTTTTCATCGTCCTCTTCCTCCAGTGGTTCCTGAAAGCTACCAGAGAACTTGGCTAAAGCCCAGTGTAGGGTAAGAGGCGCAGGAGGTGGGGTTCGCTGTTTCCCCTTTTGTGCCTCACTAGAGTTCTAAGGAGGAGGGCCCTTAGAGGCTCTGGTCACTGACCTATAGGCCATCACGAGCGCCACGAGCTGGTGGTAGAGTTCCAAGGAGCGAACCCTGGGGCTGAAAAGGTGGGGGTGGGCTTCCATGAAGGGCAGCACGATGGAATAGTACTCGCTGCGGATGTTGGCCAAATCCTTCTCCACGGCTTCAGGTACCCCTGTCCCCTGCAGCAACCGCCTGCGCTCCTCCTCGGGCCTGCAGTGAAACCCCGTGTTCTCTTCACACACCCTACCGGGACTTAGTGCTTGCGAGGCAGCCCGGTTCCCGGGACACAGCGCGGGTGCTCCCCAACTCCTCCCACGTCTCTCACCAGAACATAGGGTGCTTCAAGTGGCCCAACTCGGGCCAGAGCGCAAAGTAGGGGCTCCAGGGTGAGGCCGGGGCCTGCAACTCGTGGAGTAGCGCCAGGAGAAGGGGCACCCAGCCCGACTGGCTCTGCAGCGCGCCTCGCTCTGAGGGAGACACAGGTGAGCGCCCCGGCAGGCGCGGGTCCACCTCGGCGTCCCACCCCCGCCGGCGTGCCCACCTCGCTCCAGCAGCTCGCTGATAGAGCAGGTGTGTTGCGACAGGAGCGCGGCCCGCGGCACCGTGAACAGCAGCTCTCCGGGCTGCACGGTCTCCCGGGCCACCATGCCGTAGCCGGCGACCGTGCCCTGCCGGCTTACCGCCACCTAATCGGGAGGAGCAGCGGGTCAGAGCTGGCCTGCGCCGCGCCTGCTTCTGTCTCCCGCCCCACCCCCACTCACCTTGGGACTCAGCTCCAGCCCGACGCGCCTGCACCAGCTCAGGAAGCCAGCCACTGGGTCCAGGCCCAGGTCGTCGTCGTCGCCGCCGCCAACAGGCTTCGTCACCTAAGACAGAGCGCATTGGCAAGGCCTCGCCCCAGAGAGTTCGTGGAGGGGGGGCGGCGGAGACCGCGGCGCGCACGGAGGAAGGTTCTGGGTGGGGGAGGGGACCGAGAGCCGAAAGTGACCTGCGGGCGCGAGGGAGTGGAGAACCCCGTGCGGAACGGACTGTGGGCAGGGCCGCGCTCGGCGGTGGGGAGAGGTGGGCCCCATGCCGGCGGCCCGCGACTTACCCGCCGGCGCTTCGCCTGAGTCGCCATGGTCCGAGGGCGGTGCTTCCGGTGTCCCTGGCCACGCCTCCAGACGTCCCTGGCCACGCCTCCAGACGGGACTCTGGGGGCGGGGCCGACCCGCCACGCGGGCTACGTGAAGTTCGTATCAGAGTCCCCGCGGAAGGCGGTTAGGGGATTGCACCTGGTTCAATGAGTCCTTCTGAGACTGTCCTGTGAGGCCGGGGGTCTCCATGTGGGTTCAGAAAACGTAAGGTCGGGTGCAGGAAGACATGTCCGCGTGCCACCTCAAGCCTGGTTCTGAGCCAAGCACAGCCTCCCCTTTGGTCTGCGACAGCAGAGATCTCGCCATTGTCTGGATGCAAGCTGAGGGCCTCGGGCTGCGGCTGAGCGTACCCCGCGCCTTGCCTTCGTCATCGCGACCACTTTAGTTAGCTGCGGTTATGTATGGTTTCATTTGCTCAGTGAGAGCAGTTTGCGTGTGTGGCGTGGGAAGGGCTCATGGAACTAAATAGACTCCCTCCGTCACACTCGCCAGTATATCCTTGTTTTCATTTTCTGCATAGCACATAGTGGGCTTAATTTTTATTTACTTGCTTTATTAGCAGACACACAGCAGGAACTCAGTATCTGGGTAAATAAATGGCTGAGTGAATCAAAAGTAAACATGGAGAAGGAAGGAGCGTGCTGTTCAAGAAGATGAGGCAGCGAATGGAGAGGTTACAGGCTTGTTTTGAAGTCAAACAATGCCAATGCTAGATCCCCACTTGGCTTTATTAGGGCAGTCCCTTATCCTGAGTCTGTTTCCTCAGCTTGAAACTAAGATCATGAATATCTACCCTGTAGATTAATGTAAGGACTGGTAGGATACTACATGCTCAACCCCACCAAAACCAGAGAAGCGCCAGCCTCGCCAGCCTCAACATTGTCTCTTCCAAAGCTTCCCAAGGTGCGTGTGACATCACCATGCTCGAGTTTCTCAGTTTCTTTATTAGTTTTTCAGCAATTAACTCTTTCTACACTGACAAGGGTTTTTATTTGTTTTACATTTTGCCGTTTCTGAGTCTCATGATATTAACCACTAGAATACACAATTAGGCTCTTCACTCTGTACAGAGAGGAAAATAATAAACTCTATTAAAAGTTCACTTTGACCAAAAAGACAACCTCCAATGGAAAACCACACACAGGAGGACCCAATATACATATATATATATAATGTATAGATATTTATAGATATCTCATCTGAAAGAACACAGCAAAAAAAAAATCCAACCTGCAGCACTATCTACAGTAAGAGGGATTGATTCTAATTTTCAAATAGTCACATTCAATATACAAAGGAAGCACATGAGTGAATTGAACTAGGGACAGACTAACAATCCACCGGGCTCTAGAGCAGTCTAGCAATGGCTTAAGATTATAGAAGGGTGGGCATATGTGCAGAGGAAATATGGATGCAGGTGTCCTCCCAGCCTCAGAGCAAACCCCCAACCCCCACACACACACCCCAGCCCTTCATTTTTCATAGCTCTCTCCCCTCTCGTTTTACTCATTTTGGGGTTTGTGGCAATTGATTCAGGCTCTGAGGCGAATGGCTTCTGGTTTCTGGCCAGGAGATTCTACCTGATAAGGTGGTGGATGGGAAACATGGCACAGTCCTGGGCTTTAGGTGGCATGAGGGGGCTGGGGTGTGGGGAACCTTTCTCCTCTGCCTGGTCCTTGTTCACTTCACCTCCCACTCTAGAATCTAGCAAAGCCCCTGCCCAAGCCAATCCAACAGGCTGAGATGGTGATGGGGCCTGTGGAAGTTTTGCTACTCTGGACCAGTTCTAAACAAACTTACTTAGTGATGCCTAAGTGAAACGCTGGCATAACTTTATCCAGAACTTGCCCAACACCATGTTTCTGGCGGCCTTGGCCATACTGTCCTTCCTGGAACCTGGGGCAAAAAAAGATCTATTGGTACTTTCAGCCACTGCTGCCTGTGGCCACGTGCTAGCTCCCAAAGGTAGGGAGGGGTACACTCCATACTCACTGGCTATCCTAGCCTTTAACCTCAGCCCCCAAGTCAGGTCCCTGCGGAGATGGAAGACTTTCTGCTAGGGCCTTGGCTCAGAAATGGGACAGCGTCAGGAGGTGGCAGAGTGTGTGAGCTGGAAGAGACAGTCTGTGGGGTTCCTGCTCTTAAGGTACTCTGTTTTGTTTTCCTTGGACAGAGAAACCCCCTTCAGCCCCTGCCTGCCTCGCCTGATGGCACCAACAAAAGAGCGGCTTTGTAGGGGCGCCCCCGTGTGGCCATTGTTCAGATGATTGTCACATGTGCAAGACTGAAACATGTGCTGGGTGGAGGGCCTGGGTGGGGGCCCTGCAGAGCTCCAGGGCTGCTCACCTGCCAGTGTCCCCTGCTTCCATCTTCTGGTTCTCACGCCAGCGCCTCAGCTGGACCCCGTGCTCCTGCTGTCCTAGCACCCATCACCTCACAACTCCCACCTTCAAACCTGCCTGCCCGAGGGGGGTCATCACATGCTCTTTCTTTAATCCAGGAGGTTACCCTGGATCCTGGCCAGAGGACTCAGTCTTTCCTTAGCTGATCCCCTTCCAGCCTGGGCAGTGGGGAGGTGGAAGACAGGGATCCAAGTTGGCTACGTCAAGGTTAGTGAAGTGGAGGTGGGGAACCATCAGGAGACTGTTCTGCTGTAGCATCTAAGAGCTGTAACCCCAATTCCTCCCCTCACCCTCACAGAAATAAACAAAACAGAAAAGGAGCAGGTGCGAGGATGGCAGTGGGACTTCAGTGTGGGTGGGGCACGTGGGCGTCTTCGCGGGACCAAGAGCTTCAACAGGACACCTCCATGGTGTGGTTGACCTGGCCCAAACCCTCACTGCTCTCCGAGTGGGTGCAGGCCTGTGGGCGGCTGCCATCCACCGAGCTGGCGCTGGTGAGGGATGCGGTCCGAGAGCGGGCGAGACGGGTCATGCTGGCTGAAGGCACTGTGGACACAGGTGGGACTGGGTGTGAGGGCCAGAAGGCAAGGCCGGGTGCCAGCAGGCGGGATGAGGATTCACACAAGCAAAGCAGCGAGCGAGGCCCATTCTTCTGATGGCACAGAGGCCGTCCCAAGCAGGGCTCTGGCATCTGCTCTGTCAGCCCCAGGCAATGCAGCGCCAGCAACAGTGAGTGAGCCAGAGGGCCAGGGGCCAGGGCTCACAGATGCCAGCAGGACCCTCACAACAGCTGGCCAGAGACATGGCCAGAATGGGGTGGGAGTTGCCCAGGTAACCCAGAACTCATTTAAGGAAGAGAGGTTATTTCCACGAGGCCTAACCTCAAGAGGATGGTGGGACCAGGAGAGTAGGGTGGACAAAGTGTGGTGGCCTCAAACTGCCCCAAACCCCATTTCTGCCCTCAGGGAGAGTTTCACAAGTGAGACTCTGCCCTCCTGAACGCAGCTGGCCACCTGCTGCAGCCCAGCTCAGGCATCACAGGGTGCCCCTGCCCCCAGGGCCAGGCCTGGGCTCGACCTCTGAGTGGGTCTGGTTCCACCTGCCAGAGCTCTGGAAACCACACAGCCCATGGCAACCTAGAAGCAAGACTGCTCTAAAGCCCAGTCAATCTGGAGCCCTACAAAGGGACCAAGCCCGCACCCCCCCAGGATCTGTGGACGAGGGGGACTCTGGGCTTTGGAGGTAAGCAGGACATAGGAAGGTTCCAGACCACAGCGAGATGCGTCCTGGCTCAGCACAGCAGAAGACGGAGCAAAGGAGCAGGGAGGGCCTGGGTGGTGGGGGTCCATGCATCGGGGGAGGGGCTGCAAGGCTACCTGCTCCTCCGCTCAGCCTTCGGTCCTTCAAGTATGCAACTAAGAGAGAAGACAGAGCCAGAGAGGGGTGGGGTAGGGGGAGACAGAACATGGGTGAGGAGTGTGGTCCAGCGAGGCAAGGGTGTTGAGATGGACCAGAGATCAGACGAAAGGACAGGCACAGAGGGCTGGAGGCAGGGCTAGAGTCTCAGGAAGCCCACTCCTGCCCACTCACCAAGCAGCAGCCACGGAAGGGACCACATAGCCCTGAAAGCCCCAACTGCAGGGTGGGGGCACTTATCTCGCCTCCCCCCATCTCTCTGGCACTGAGGGGCTCGTGCCTATAAGGCCTTTGGGGCCCTTATCTAGTCTTAGTGTCCTCATCATTCTGCTGAGCCTCAGTCTCCCCAGGTACAGATAGGGGAGGTTGTCCCAAATCCCTCCCAGCTCTTGGGCTGCCTGGTGGTGGTTCTCCCGGGGCCCTGGCAGGCGTGGCTCATCCATCCATCCCGCAGATGTTGACTGGGTGCCTCCTGGGCTCGGCCGCTCAGACCTCCTGCTGCCTCACTGCCAGCCTTGCCCTACTTCTGCACAGAGCAAGGCCCCTGGGGGCCAGAGGGAGATCTGTTCCTGGGTGTGGACCCTGCCTTCCCAGAGGCCCGTCCCCTACTGAGGCCCGAGCTCCAGAGGCTCAAATCTGAGGGGAACAAAAATTCAGGGAGAGGAAGTCTGCTTCCTGCAGGAGCTAGTGTGTGTGTATTGGGGGCTCAAAGCACAGTCTGGATCTGAGCACAGGGGGAAGTTTGGAGGTGGAGGGGCCAGGAGGGGGCCAGTGCCACCCATGTCCTTCGATCCCCAGGATCTTCTGAATGCCACCCCCAGGTTCAGCTGCCTGTTGAGGTGAGGAGCTCTTCTCCCAGCCTTGGGGGCCCAGGGCCATCTGGGTCCTGACACTCAGGTGGCTCCACCATGTGCCTTTCCCAGTCCCCGGTCTCCAAGCCCACTCTTCCATTGCCCCATCTACAGTGCTGAGAACAGGTGCTGCAGGCCCAGCAGGGTGGGGGGGGTGACACCTTCAGGCAGGCTTCCCCGGCAGGACTGGGGCCTGGTTCCCCAGGGCTGGAGAAGGGCTCCTCACCCCAGAAGGCCCAGACATGCCCCAAGTCTCCCCCGGGCCCAGGGAAGCGGGGCATGGCCTGGGCTGACTGACGCACAGCGTAGGCCTTTGTGTGTCCCCGGCAGCAGGGGAGCATGTGGTGAGTGACCAGCATCTGGGTCCCTGTAACAGCTCATCACCCGCCGGCTGCTCATCAGAACGCCCGACAGGTGCCAGCCCACCTGCCACCAGTCGCAGGGGTGGTCTGGGTAGAGGTGTACTCACTGTAGCCCATGCCTTGCAAGAAGTATTTGAAGGCTTCAGTCAGCTTCCCGGGCTGCAAGGAGGGACAGGCACATGCTTTGGCTGTCTAGGACTGTGAGGAGGAAGGAGGCTTCCCCCACCCTCGGCTAGGTAAGGGAGGGAAGGCTGAGTCTCACCTGTGTGACCTGGGGGAGCCCCCCGGAATCTGCCATCTGCAGAGGAGAGAGGGGGGTGAGCAGAGCAGGCCACCCCAAGCCCTGCCTGGCCCTCCTACCTGGACAGGCTCCCCTGACCAGACATGCGGACCCAGGTGGGACCCCAGGCAGGCCGCACAGTTAGGGGAGCTGGCCCAGGGCTGGGGAGGAGGGTCTAACCTTCAGGAAGGTCGTGGTTGTCGGGTCCAGTTTGGAGTTGCAGTCAACCTAAGGACGAGGAGCAGTTTCAGCAGAGTGAGGTGGCCCCAACTGCTAATGCAAGTTCTGCCCCCAGCTGGGAACTCCCAGGCTGCATGCTCCCAGAGTTCCAACAGGAGAGGTGACATGATCCCCAAATGCAATGGGTGCAAATAGTGGTCCAAGGGGGACATTACTTATTGCATAAAAAATGGGTCAAATCCTAGAGGAAGAAAGCTTAGTCTCTGGGCCTGAAGTGGGGAGACTGAGGTGGGCTGCCCTGAGGGGGGTCTCCCTGAGGTCTCCAGGCCTCCCTCACCTGAAGGAGGGTGGCTGTGGTGAGCGGTGATGCACGGCAGAGTGGTGGGGAAGTGGGATGAGGAGCCCACCACCCAGGCCTGTCCCTGAGGTTTCCCTGGGCTGGATCATGGATTGGCTGCTGACCAGAGGCCAGTGACCCCCCTCACTTCTGTCCCCAACCCCAGTTAGAGCCTGACCCCTCACTCACCACCCCATCCTCAGCAGGTGCATTGTCCCCCACCACCAGCATCACGGGGCAGCTGCAGACACAGAGGAAGAGGGTTGTCTGGCCTGGGCATGGTGGGAGGGGGCAGGGCGGGGAAAGGTGGGCGCAAGGGGATGCTCACCGGAGTGTCTTGGCATTAGGCACTGTTCCAGGCCGGTTAATGTCCAGGTCTCTGCGGCTGCAGGGAGAGAGAGGTGCTCATTCCAGCTGTATTTCAGCCATCCCCTGTCCCCTCCCCCAACAATGGCAATTAGGGCCCAACATTCCTGGAGACCGCAGCTGCTAAAACAGGGAGACAGGGGCCTTCACTGCATAAGTAGGGGCCTTCAGTCGCCAGTGTGGCTCAGTGCTTGAGCGTCAACTTGTGCACCAAGAGGTCGCCGGTTTGATTCCTGGTCAGGGCACATGCCCAGGTTGTGGGCCTGATCCCCAGTGGGGTATGCAGGATGCGGCCAAGTGATGTTCTCATTGATGTTTCTCTCTCTCTCTCCCCCTCTCCCTTCCTCTCTCTCTCAAATCAATCAATAAATAAAAATTAAAAAAAAATAAAAGCCCTGGCCAGTTTGGCTCAGCAGTTAGAGCGTCGGCCCGCGGACCGGAGAGTCCCAGGTTCAGTTCCTGTAAGGGCACCTACCTCGGTTGCAGTTTGACCCCGGCTCCGGTTGGGGTTATGTGGGTGGCCACCAGTCGATGTGTCTCTCTCACATAAATGTTTCCCTCTCTCTCTCTTCCTCCTTCTTTCCCCCCACTCTATTTGAAGATAAATGCAAAAATGTCCTCGGGTGAGGACAAAAAAAAAGATAGGGGCCTTCAGGGCTCTCCTCATGCATTACTTCTTCCCAGACCCCCAACTCATGCCAGGTGGGCCCTCAAATTTGGCTCCGACCACCCAGCCCCCGGAAGTGCTGCTTGGATGACCACCACCTGTGCTATGGGACCCAGCCTGTCACTCTCCATCCTTTCTCCAGCGCTCTGCACACGGCTGGTGCTCAGTCCATATTTGTAGGGTAAAGAGGAGGGAAGACAGGCAAGTAGGGGCCTGGCCACTTCCCCACAGGGCACCCCCCAAAGGGGCTCCAAGGAGCACAGCTTAAAAACCACTGACATCATCCAACCTCCTCCCAGGTACACGCCAGGCCCAGGACTGTGGGGGTCGGGGATGTCCCCTACGGCTTCCTCGGGCCATGCCCCGGGGAGGAGAAGGAATGGATAAGCCCTGCTCCCTGTCTGCTCTTCATGGGGTGTGACCCTGGGCAAGACGCGACTCCTGTCCGAGGCGTAACTGTCTGCTCTTCCACAACCTGGGGACAGTGTCACCTGTCTGCCTGCCCCTCATGGAAGCTGTAGAGGGTCCCACCTGTTGTACATGTTCCAGAAGAGCTGCAGGTTGGCCTGGTTCACCACATTCCCGATCTGCTGCCGGTAGCTCTGCACCAGCTCCGAGTTGTTCATCAGCTCCTCCTGGGCCCAGGACAGAAGCTTGTGGGCTCAGAGCGGGTGGGGCCGGTGTCAGGCCAGAGCCCAGATCAGCCTTTGACCGCTCTTGGCAGGGTGGGGCGGTGGGTGGAGCCCCCCAAATGTGGGAGAGAGAACCCAAGGAGGGGAGAGGAGGAAGGCTCCACAGAGCTGTGGGAGGAGGTCTCCCCCTATGTGTCTTTCAGGTACCCCGGCACCATGGCCAGCAGCAGAGGACAGAGTGAGACAGGTCAGATGCCACCTAACCCCTGCCTTCCTCCTGCCCAGCTGGGAGGGAGCAGAAGCCCCTCAACCCAGCATCCCTGAGAGTGGGCAGAACCAGGCCCTTCAGCAGCCTGGTCTCCCGAGACCCCCAGCCCACCAGCTGTGCTCCTGTGAGGATGGTCCCACGCCCTCACCTGGCTGAAGAGGTGGGATAGCACCGTGTCGGGTAAAGTGCTGGTCAGGCCGGACAGCTGCGGGCCAAGGCGGGGGTCAGTGTGAGAGCCGCCCCACGGCCTGGCCCCCGCCCCCACCCTGGCCAGGTGGCCCACACTCACCTTGGTGGCGGCCCAGTCGATCCAGCCTTTGCCATTGGGGTCAATGTTCATCAGCACCAGCCCCTCCACCAGGTCGGGGAAGATAAGCTGCGTGAAAGGAAGACAGGACTTGGGGGAGGCCAGACAGGGAGCCCAAACTTCCTCTCTACTAAATAGGCTGTAAGATTCTGGCCCTGACTGCCTCACAGGTGGTTTGGTTCGGAGGGTCCAAGGAGAAGGACACACTCTGTAACGGCTTTAAGACGCCACTGATGCCCGGCTGGTGTGGCTCAGTGGTTGAGTGTCGACCCACGAACAAAGGTTGCTGGTTCGATTCTCGGTCAGGGCACATGCCCAGGTTGTGGGCCTGATCCCCAGTCGGGGGCATGTAGGAGGCAGCCAATCTCTCTCATCGATGTTTTTTCTTTTTTTTGGTACGTGCCCTTTGCCGCTAGGGCCTAGTGGGAACAGAACCTGGGACTCTCTGGTCCGGTCCGCAGGCTGACGCTCCAACCGCTGAGCCAAACCAGCCAGGGCTCTCATCGATGTTTTCTATCTGTCTCTCCCTCTCCCTTCCTCTCTCTAAAATCAATGAAGAAAAAAATATTTAAAAAGACGCCACCGATGACCACCTGTCACAGCTGGAAACCTGCGTGGGTGCCACGTCCAGCTGCCCACTCATCCTGCCACCTGCGGCCTTCCAAAATTCTCGGACTGATTCTGAATCCCTGCCCATGTCACTGGTTTTCACCCCTTTGAATATATCTTTGGAGATGCTGCTGTTGCAAAACAGGATTAAACATCTTCAATAAAACATTTTGTTTCTTGGCTTTTATAGACAAGGAAGTTCTAGTCCATTATGTGAGAACCAAACCTGGTATTGTTAGACATGGGAAAAGGACTCACACTTTCTGCTCATGCCCGTGTTTAGGGGGCAGTACACCTACAATACTCATGTCCTGTCAAGTCTGGGGTGACAGGGAGTTAACAAAATGCCTAACTGTTGAAATAGAAACGGGAGTTGAAAATGCTTGGTTATTTCTTTTGAAGAAAGAAAGAATTTGAATCCTGAAAATTAAGTTTTTGTTTTTAGGGTTTAAAAGCTTGTGGTTCCTACCCAACATGGTGTTTTTGAAATGTGACTTTCCTTAAACCTAGCAAACTGAACGTAAGTGTGATTTTTGGTTAAAACGTGACTCATGTTTAAATATTACTCTTATTAGTGGATGAGTGGTTGTGATGACTCTTATTTTGTGGCTAGAGTGATGAGTTTATTTTGTGGCTAATAGAAAGTTTGGCTATAGATAATGGTTAAGCAAGTTACAGTCTTTTGAGGAAATGTATGGAAAAAGTAACCTTTTTAAAAAAAAGGTTAATTTCCTTAGAGCCCCCTCCCCCCAAAAAAGGCTTTTCTAAGTGAAGAGGAAGTGGGGAGGGGAGAAGAAAGAAAGGGCAGGCAAGTTCCTGTGGCTGAGGGCTGCCAGGAAGACCAGCCCTGAGCGGGTGCAGGGGAAACTCACCGCAAACTTGGCCAGCACATAGGCTCCAGCTCCCACTCCGATGCCAATCACATACTTGAACCTGGAGGAGAGCATGGCGGTCACTCTCAGGCCAGGGCTGCCATTTCCCATGAATGTCATCTGAGCAGGCCCCACCCACAGCTCTCAGACCTCAACCAGAAACCGGTGGCTCTGTGGTGGTGGGCACCCCTCGGCCCCAGCACAGGGACGGGCTGGCGGGGACTCACCCAAAGTGCTGCACCACGCTGGGGAGCATGGCGGCCAGCTGCTCCATGGATGGAAACTGGTACCTGCAGGCGGAGCAGGAGGTCAGGCCCAGGTGTGGCTTGGGGCACAGAGCTGGGGAACGTTGGAGGGGATTCGGGGTACCTACCCCTGAGGAAACTGTGACGCCCCCACCTGCTGACCGGGGGCATCCACGTGGCACACCACAAAGTGCTTGGTGATCTCCTGCATGTCCTCGAAGTTGAAGAAGGTGTTGAAGCACAGTTTGTCTGCAGAGACACACCTGTGTCTGAGCAGAGTGGTGGGGAGGCCTGTGGCTGAGAGGGAGGGTGAGGCAGAGACGATCAGCCTCACGGTTCAGTGGGGAAATCAAGGCCCAAGTGGCTAAGGACACAGAGCTGAGTGTGGTCGGACCTACAGGGGGAGGAAGGGGAGGCCTCACTGCTCTAGCAGATTCGAGACAGGGAAAGGCCGGGTGGGGCTGGGGTACACTTACGGTTGAGGCCCACATCGTGGTAGGTCAGGATGGCCGGGCGGTTCCCCTTGGGGGGGCCCCGGATCACCACATGCAGGAGGCCGTAAGGCGTTTCGATGTCATGCTCCTGGAGGGAGAGAGAGCGCTGGACACTCTGGGCGGCCCCCAGTCCTGGCTCCTCTGCGGAAAGAGGCTGGGGAGCAGCCAGGAGCTGTTGGGCTGTAGTTCGGCCTCCATGTCCCATGGGGGTGGGACGTCCCATTCTCGTCACTCTTGGCAGCCCGCAGAGAGGACACAGCAGCTGGAGCACCCCTTCTCAGGGGCTTCTCCCAGGCTAAGGACACCCCGACACAACAGCCCCTTTCTGGGGCCTTCTCCTAGTGCTAAGCGCCCTGCAGGCATCAGCTTCTTTAACCCTCAGTCCTCAGAGGGCTTAGGAAGTGGCAGCGAGGCACAGAGAAGTGTGCCTGGCCCAGAGTCACTCAGCAGGGGGCAGAGCAGGTGTTGAACCCATCGCACCAGCTCCTGCTTCCTGAAAGACTAATGGCCCCACGCAGCAGAACCGCGAGAACGCGCCTGGCCTGGGTGGCTCAGGGGTTGAGTGTGGTCCCATGCACCAAGAGGTCACCAGTTCATTTTGCACACGGTGGACACAGGTTCAAAGGGACCAAAGTTCCTTCCCCTGACCGGAAAGGGACAGATTCAGGAGGTAGAAGACAGCTTAGGGACTGGCCTTTTGGGTCTAGGCTCAAAGAACCACTGTCCAGGCCTGTCTCTCTAGTGGGGAGTGACAAGGTGGTGCAATCCATGGCCAAGGCTACACCCCGAGAGCCACACTTCTGCTGTGGGGTCCAGTTAGACACACCCTGTCATCCTGTGGGCGGGCCCAGGTTCACCACAGCCTCCGTCCCTGGGAGCCACCAAAACAAGCAGCACTTCCCGCTCACTGCCCACTGACTGGACCCTTTTCATGTCCTCGTCTGCTCCTCGTGGGGACCCAAGCCGCAGGGGAGCAAACTAAGTCTGGGGAAGGAGAAATGACTTGCCCAAGGTCAAGCCTGGAGAGGGCAGGACAGGCCTTGCCAGGTGCAGGCCTCAGGAGAATACACTGAAGTCACCTTTTCTGAGACCTCTCCACAGCCGCCAGTCCCTGCCACGCTGCACCCTCAAATCCCCACTCCTTGGCTCCAGAGGGTGGGGTTGGGGGAGGAGGGTGCACGATGCCATGGAGGGTGGGGCTGGGGGGCAGGAGGGTGCCACTGAACAAGAGCTGCAATGCGCTGCCTGCGGCTGAAGGGCAGTTCCTCCAGGGCACCGGGTCACCTTTCGCCCTCCTAACCACAAGTAGGGGCACAGGATGGCAGTATTCCACAATCACACAGTCCGTGGGTGTAAGGGGCGTCTGTCCCCTCCCAGCCCTGGTGTGACCGCCCCATCACTATCCCCTGAGTGGCCGGACTCGGCCACAGTGCCTGCCCTACTGAGGCTCCGAGGGAAGGGTTGCCCCAGGAAGACCAGCCCTAGGGTGGGGGTGGGGGCGGGGGCTGTCGGGGCATCCGCGGGCTTCCCGCGACCCAGTAACTTTGGCTGAACCCTCCTCCCGACCCAGGAGCTCAGACCCAGCTCAGTCCGATAAGAGGTCGAGCGGCCCAGTCTTGGGGTGGGGGTGGGGCAGCACACAGGGAGCGCTCCTAGGGCTGTAGCCGGACACACTGGGAGCCCCCAACCCCAGGACTGAGCTCTCCCATTGGCTCCCGGTGACGTCACCCGGCTCCCGCCCCCAGGTGGGGGCCACCATAGGCACTGCGGCAGCCTGTACCCCTCGGGTGTGCATCTCCCCTCGCCCTTGACCTTGACCTTGAGGGTTGCAGCCCTCGGAGCTAGGCTTCAGCACGCAGGGCTGTGGCGAGAGGGCTACTGCGATTCTCCCGTCACCCCAGTCACCCCAACAATGTTCGGCAGGCCCGGGCGGGGAGGCGCTGACGTCGTTGCCTGGGTGCTGGCGACCCGTGGTCTGAGGACTCGGGAAGCCCGGGTCGGGGGTGGAGGAATAGGTGCCCTGCCTCTCCCTCACTGAGGAAGAGCAGTACCCTGGGCACTGCTACCAGGGTAGGAGGAGGCGTCCTGGAGCCCACCTGGCGACCCGCCCCCGGGGCTCATGGCTCCAGCGATGCCTCCCCCACCCACAAAATACGGCATTACGACCCCTCTGCCCTGCAGGGACCCGGCCTGAGGCCCTGGGGGCCACGGAGGGTTGCGAGCACCGCCTGAGAAAGGAAGAGGCTGTTCTGGTTGCACCGTGCAGCCAAACACACACGACAGCGCGCAGGGTCGGGAGCGCAGACACCTGACGCACAGACACCCAGACATGCAGGGAACTCGCTCTCCCCAGGGAGCCAGCCAGCCACCAGCTGGGCGTGTGCTAGGCGAAGGGCACATGTCAGTGGGACGCACAGACGAGGGCACATGGTCTGCACAGCCAAGTCTCAGCCCAGCCCGATCTCGGCAGATTTCAGCTCTTCCCCGCAGGCCCCAACCGGCTGCTAATCCCCAATCGCTGCTGAAGGCTGAGGTCACCAGGACACTAAAGCCTGCTGGTGAGGCGACTGAAGGCAGGTCTGACACCAGGCAGAGGGATGCCCCTTCCTCCCCCGACAACCTCCCTGCGCCCCCAGAGCTCACTCACCCCATCCCAGCACTCGGGCATCTTGCCGAGGGAAGTGACACGCCTCGACAAGGAAGGACAAACAAAGGCCTGAGTCACTGGGTCCAGAGGTAGGGGCGGCTCCGGTGGGAAACCAGCAGCTCTGCGGTGGGCGCCGCTCCCAGGACCATTTATATGCAGAGCCTGCCCGCCTAGGCCGGCCCCTCCCCGCGGGGTTTCAGCAGCTACTCGCTGGCCTGGAGCCCCCGCTTCCAGATTGGCTGTGGGGAGACAAACCTGGCTCCAATTGGCTTCTGAGGTCCTCGCTCACCCAGCCCCTGCTCCTGTTTCACCCCTACCCCCCCAGCAACACATCATCCTGCATGGTCCCCAGCCCCTGCATTCTGATGCCCCCAGCACACAGGCACACAGACAGCTGCAGCTAGCTGCACAGGGGCCCTGAGAAGGTGGGCTCTGGTCAGGTACACAGCAGCCTCTCATGGACACCCACACCAATGCAGGGCAGGGTGGCCACACGGCTGTGCCCTAGACAGCACACCCTGATCCACAGCCTGGGTAGCAGGAAGGGACCTGAGGGGCCCCAAGCCCAGCCTCCCATCAGGAAGGCCTGGATCACAACCTTGAGGGGATGTAGGAAGTCACTGCTGTCTTTTCTGACCCCCCCTCCCCCCCCGCCACAGGTCCCTCCTAGGGCCCCACTCTGCCCACATGCACACCCAGTGCCTGTCCACACTGCTGAAAAGTGGGGTTCTGGGGCCAGGGGGCCTGGGTAGATTGCAGGACCAGGAGTCTGGTGGGGCACACATCAATCTGTCCTCCCCACTCCCATCCTGCAGCAAGGACTGCAGGCCACCAAGGAAGGAGAAGGGACATGCCCACCTCCCGCAGACCCACCCGGCACAGGGCCTGGCTCCTGGCTCTTTGGGGAGTACGACACATTAGTCACCTCGGGTTCCATGCCCTGTCCTCCCGAGCAACAAGGCTTTGGGGGGGGGGGCTAGCGAGAAACACACAGGTAGAGAAGACAGAGAAGAAGGGGGAGCAGAGGAAGAGAAACAGGCCAGGGAAGGGGCAGAGGAGGGAGCCCAAGGACAGAGAAGGATGGGCAGAGAGAAGGGAGGGGTGCTGGGCACCATGCCCCCATTCTGTCTCTTTGGTGAAGGCCCATGCCACTCACCCCAGCCTACGCCAACAGTCCTGCATACTGGCTGGCTGCGCTGGGGGAAGACAGTCACCTCCCTCTGGGTCCTACTGACCTGGTCAACACCTGCCAGGTATGCTATTCCTGGCCCTGTCTTGCGCCTGGGGGGCACCAGGAACTTTCCTTGCCCCATCTCTAACCTCTTGCCCTAGAGGCCTAGCTCAGAGGGCTAGGCCTTGCTCTTGCCCAGGGCAGCCAGGGTGTGGAATGGGGTGTCCTCTGGCCCCTCACATTCTGGCCATTCTCCCTGTTCCCTGCAGCCACTTGGACACAGGAAGAGGCTCCAGCCACTGAGGCTACAAAGGCGCAGCCTGCAAGGTCCTCCCATATGCTTCACGAAGCGGGAGACAAATGGCCTTCCATCCTTTCTGCCACCAAACCCTGCTCCTGCATCGTCCCTATGCAATCTTATGTCCACTCCAGCCTCTGATCACTGAGTGGCCTTCCCACCCTTGGACTCCAGTGAGAAGCTGACCTTGGACACTACCCACTCCAAGCCGTGGCCCCATTTCTGCTCAGCTCACTTGCTTCAAATCCACAGATCTGAGTTTAAGTCCCAGCTCCCCAGCCACTAGCTGGGTGGCTTAACTTTCCTGTGCCCAGGGCCCCTCAACAGTAAAACAGTAATTGTGCCTTCTGCACAGAGTTGCTAAAAAAGGTGCATAAATCACTAGACCTGACTCCATGCCTGCCCATGCCCTGCCTGTATCTGCAGAGATGGGACAGACAATCTATGTACCTTTTCAAACTGCTGGCCTTTCCCTGGAGGCTGAACCCAGTCACAAGTCATAGCTCTGCCACATCTTTGCTGTGTGACCTTGAGCAAATCAGTCAACCTGAGTCTCTACATCTGCAAAGGGAAAACAACAGTGCCTACTGCACAGACAGCTGCAGGGATAAACACATAATGCTTACAAACCTATGAGAAAGGATCAGGAAACTGAAGCTTACTAGCACCTTAGCCCTCTGGGCCTAAGGTCAGATTAAGAGTAGCAAATGCGTATTAGAATATCTCCATGTGCCAGGGACTGTTCAAATGCTTTACATGTTACCATTTTATCTTCTTAACTCCCACTTTAGAGATGAGGAAAATGAGGCAGGGGCTGGCTATTCTGGCATTTTATGTCACCAGCTCCCTCCTGGGGAGGAGGTCCTGTTTGTCCACACATCCCACCCTCTTTCAGAGCAGGGAGGACAAAGGGGACATCTTGGCAGGCCTCCCCTGATCTCTGGCTGGGCCGAGGCTGTCTCCGGCCACACCCCTCCCACCTCTCTCCCCATGGGCTCCTGTTTGTTCCCGCCTTCCCAGGCCGTCCTGTCCTTCCCAGCCTCAAGAGCATGTTGTATTGGAGCTGGAACTCCTGGGGGACTGGAACAGGAGCATATTCTTGCGTCCTTGAGGGGCTCATGACCCAGGGCCGGGCTCACAGGTCCAGATCCTCACTGCACAGCTGCGCCCAGGGAGGAGCCAGCATGTCCCCCACCTCCCACCCGTGCGTGCAGACCACAGGGCTGGGGCTATCCTGGGGCTCAAAGACTGACCCAGACTGAAGTCAGGCCCAGGTCAGGGCCTCGGGGGCCAGTTCCATCGAGCCAGGAGGCAGGTCCCAGAGGGTGTGAGTTTGTGTTGGTGGCCAGCGGGCCCTGGAACTGGGGAGGCTCCCACTGTGTCTGCTGCCAGACACTTTCCAAGACCCGGAAATAAATGGCCACTACGGGACCCAAAGGGGAGAAATGGCTGGCTGAGAGTGAGATCATTGTAAGGAGGAATAAAAACAAAGAACGATTTCAGTTTTCACAGGGAATCTGGCATCAAACTAAAGAGGACATGGTTGGCCCGGCAACAGCTGCCATGGAAACAGGAGCTATTTTGGAGCATCAGCCTGGCTTTCATTGGAGGAAAATGCTGATTCAGATGACAGCATCCCTCCCTCCCATCTCCAACCTCACTCACCTAAGCCTCCCCTCCCCTTCCTGTTGAGGGAGGGAGGGAGCATCTCCCCACTGGGCAGGGGGCAGGCAGATCCACTGTAAACAGTGAGGGTGGCCCTGGAGACTGGGAGGTGCTGAACCCGTAGCTCCAGGAACGTGGAAGGGTGTGACCCTCCTCTAGGACCAGGCTGAGGGGCCAGCCAGCTGCCAGTCCCCCATGTCAGGAGGCTGAGAGTTGAGACCTACCTTCCAGTCTGTGTCCACGGCCAAGAGGAAGGGGTCAGAGTTCTCCTGAGGGAGCAAACAAAGGGGGTGGGCATCAGGCCCTGGCTGGCCAGGGAGCCCACATCGGCTTGGCCTTGAGCAGACTTGCTTGCTGTTCCTCATTCTGTTTTGTTTTTTTTTTTTTTTTGGAGAGGGAGGAAGGGAGAGAGAAACATGACTGTGGGAGACACACGGATCGACTGCCTCCTGCAGATGCCCCGAGCGGGGACCGAACCTGCAAGTTAGGCACATGTCCTGACCAGGAATCGAACCCGCAATCTTCTAGTGCACAGGACAGCACTCCAAGCAACTGAGCCATGCCAGCCAGGGTCCCATTCATATGTATATGTTTAAATATGTTTTTATTGATTGTTAGAGAGAGAGGAAGGAAGAGGGGGAGATAGAAACATCAATGAGAAACACGGATCAGCTGTTCCCTGCACGCCCCCTACTGGGGATCGAGGGGCAACCTCTTGAGGAATGGGACCATGCTCAGTCCACTGAGCACACCAGCTGGGCCCCATTCATCTGAATGTTAACAAAAGTGGCCCAGGGCTTCCCAAATGCCAGGCACCGGGCCAGTAAGTGCCGGATAGATGAGTCTGTGAGCAGCTATTCACATTAATTTTCCCTATTCATGGAAAAGGTGAAGATTTCCATTGACAGGAGAGTAGTGTGAGGGTCAGAGAGACTGAGTCACAGGGCCAAAAAGTGGTGGAATCTCTGACTCTAAGTCCTTGCTGCTGGTCACTCTGTCCTGCTGCCCCCACAGGTGGCTCTCAAGGTCTCACTATCAGGGCACAAGGTCAGAGGCCGAGGAAAGAGGTCAGAAGGCCCTGATTCCACACCATTTTATAGAGGCTGGGCCCAGGCCGTGAGGGACCGAGGGCTTGCACGGCCCACACGAAGGAGCTGCCAGGTGCAGAGGTGGCTGCTCCTGCCTTCCCAGACCTGCTACTTCGCTCTCTCACAGCACCGGGCCGCTTTGGACTCATTTACACTGACCGGTGTGAGTCTGTGGCTGGTGCCTGTTTCTCCCATAGGCCTGCAGGCACCTCGAGGGTGGAGCCACGTTGGACACTGCTGTCAGCATAAAGCCTGGCACGGAATGGGCTTCCCAACAAGAAATCTGGATGAACAAGTCTGACCTTGGGAACGTAGGGACCGTGTCTCAGAAGAACCCACTATTCACAAGGCGGCAGAAACACTGAGCAGAGTGAGGACTCCATCCCATGTTCAGACACTGCGCCCTCTCTGGGTCTTACATGGGGAAGGAAACCTCTCTGCCAGTTAGCCTCAGAGCCTCGGGGTCTGTAAGGATTAAAGGAGAAGTATGCACACTGGCCGTTGTTCTGTCCCTGGGGCTGGACTGGACTGTCCTGCATGGACTCTACCCCACAGATGCTCCATGAGCCGCTACTGAATACACATGTGCAACAAGCAGGGTGGCCAAAATCCTGGGAGTGGGAAGGAAGGAATGACACCAGCCACTCCACCTGCACTGGCAGCTGGGGGGAAGGGGGTGGTGGAGAGAATCAGAGGGCTAGGGGATCTCACATCCAAAGGGGAAAGCCGGGCTTCAGGGGACAAAGGTACAGTCATACTGTCACATAAACAGTGGTTGTCCTCAGGCCTCACCCCCTGGTTCCTCCAGGACCTGGGGGCTCTGCACAGGGAGGGATGGAGAGCACAGAGGTGACCAGGCCACTCCTGGAACCTCCGAGGAAGGGGATGGGCTGAAGGAAGGGGACAAAGCTGGTTATGGATGAATCTTCTCACCGGAAGACCAGGCACAAGGTGGGGGCAGGGAAAGAGATGCGGGAGATTTTTAACCTCAAGACCCCAAGGGTTCAGTTATCTCAGAGAAGGAGGGAGGAGGCAGTGTTTTGTTGTTTTTAAATCAACACAAAGGATGAGGCTGGTAATGGCAGGGTGCTCTGCGTGCCCCCAGCAGTGCCAGGAGGACCCAGGAGAAGGGGAAGGTGCAGGAGGGGCAGGGCTGCAAACCAAGAAATAGCTGGAATAATACAAGGCCAGAGAGGAGCTGCGCTGGGGGGACCAGGGTGTAGGAATAGGGTGTGGGGGCTGGCAGGTAAGTGTGTGGAAGTAGTCACTCCTCACTGGACTCAAAGGGCTTGCCCCAGGCCGGTCATGGAAGATTTAGAGAGTGAAAGGGACAGACACATACACACAGCAGCTGGAAAAGGAGAATTTGTCTGTGTGACTGGGAAAGAGACAGGCAGGACGGCTCTGGAAGGCAGGGTGTACCAGATGTCACTGAAATCTGAACAGGCCACGCTGGAAACACCTAGGATGTTGTTTTTTGGGGGGGTTGGGACAGAGTGTTAATGCGCCTTTGGAAAAAGCAGGTGTGGCCACGCTGGTGTGGGTCAGTAGTTGATCATCGACCCATGCACCAAGGGGTCACTGGTTCAATTCCCAGTCAGGGCCCATGCCCAGGTTTCTGGGCTCAATTCCCAGCAGGGGGCATGCAAGAGGCAGCTGATGGATGTTTCTTTCGTTCTCTCCCTTCCTCTCTCTCTAAAGTCAGTTAAAAACATTTTTAAAAAGAAGAAGGAGGTGTGACCAGGCCCCCAGCATAGGGCCTGTGTTGAGCAGAGAGGAGAGAAACTGAACTGGGGATTCAAGGCCTCCACGGTCACCAAAACAGGCCTTCGTGCAGGGTGGGGACATCTCGGTACTAACTCTCATCCAGGTCCAGGTGGGATGAGGTGAGTGACACCAAGTGTAGCAGAAAGAAGGCAGAGCCAGGCTGCTGGGCAGCGGGGCCATGTTCATGGAGTCCGGGAGGGTGGAGCAGTGAGGGCTAGCCCAGGCTATCAGAGAAGGGGTGTGGGCATCTCTTGGGGGAACTGCTGAGGTGAGAGGAGGAAGAGACAGACACAGGAGGTATGCGGCCAAGATGCCCGGAGCTCTCTGCACTGCCCACAGACACGCCTCCTACACCGGCAGGCAGTTCTCCATCCTCCATGTGGCTGCTTCAAACCCCGACACCTCTGCTCTGGTGATGGGTGCAGGGGTCCCGAGGAGCCCTCCAAGAAGGCCCGTCTCTGCTTGCATTCTGCTGAGCTGCACCACCATCTATAGCCTCCATTATGTGCAAGGCTCTGTGCTAGGTGCTGGGAGGACCTGGGGAACAAAACCCGGAGAGTCTCTGCTCCCAAGCCTTTGGGGCAGGGCTCGAGAGAGGTGAGTGCTAGGGCCAGGCACAGAGCTCGTAGGGGCATCAGTATCAGACCCGGTGCTCAGAGGAGGCCTTCCCTGGGGTGCGAGGGCTTCTCAGAACCAGGGATTGAGTTCGGACTCATTCCCTGATTGCTGTGTGACCTTGGCCAAGTGAACTAACCTTTCTGTGCCTCCGTTTTCTCATTATTGAAATGTGAATGCCACTCCTAAAGAGCCTCCCAGCCTCAAAGACAGCCAGAGCCACAGCGAGGCTGGCTGGGTTTTAGTCACGTGGGCGTCAGCCTGGCTGCACTGCTCCCAAGGCAGGGTCCAGGCCTCTCAGGGTGGCCTGAGTATTCCTGTGGGTCAGCTGGACGAGATTGGAGGGAAGACTGCATGGTTTCCTTTTTGGCCACGAGGGGGTGCCCTCCGCCCCAGGACCGCAAGGGGGCTGCTCACCAGCTCCGTGGCGTCCTGGCCCCGGAGCAGTGGCTTCTCCTCAGGGAATTGCAGCTCCTGCAGCCCGGCCATGGTCACGTCGTGGAGCAGCAGCCCTGGGGAGGGAGGACGAGGACAAGGGTTGGGGCCTGCTGTGGCGGGGGGTGCCCCGCCCCTGCTCCGACTCTCCCAGCACAAGCCCGTCTAGGGCAGGGCAAGGGCACCACACCATCAGCTCCATCACTGGGTCCCCAGTGCAGGCTCATCACAGCGCCTCACCTGGGCAGTAAGGCTCCGTCTGCAGGGCTCCCTGTTTGGCTCAGGGATGTCACTGTATTATTTGTTCTTAAAAGTTTAAACAGCCCAGCCGGTATGGCTCAGTGGATTGAGCACCGTCCCATGGACTGAGACGTCCTGGTTTGGTTCCCGGTCAGGGCACATGCCCAGGTTGCAGGCTTGATCCCCAGTAGGGGGCGCGCAGGAGGCAGCCCATCAGTGTCTCTCTCTCACATCCATGTTTCTATGTCTCTCCCTTCCACTCTAAAAAAATCAATAAAAATATATTTTTGAAAAAGTTGAAACATGTTTTAAAAAAGAAAAGAAAAGGAATACAGGATAACCCCTAAAACAATTTCAAATAAATTTCTGCATTTATTGAGAGGCAGAGGGGCTGGTGTGGGGAGCTCACACATGAGGTCAAAAGCAGTCAAAATGGTCAGTGGGGTCCTAGAGGACACAGAGGAGAACAGAACTGAAGGGTATCCAGAGATCCTGGAAGGACGAGCCTGGATTTGGGGGGCCCCAGAGAAGGGAGTGGGAGGGCCCTGGAGTATAGCAGGCAGAATGATGTTGAAGGGGGGGTGTCTGTCATGACATACCACCACACGGAGGGATGACACCTGATGACCACTCGACTCACAGCCACCACGAGGTAGGTCCTTGGGTCTCTGAGCCTCAGGAGAGGAAATGATCATACGTGCACATGTGTATGTCCATGCATGCCTGTGTGTATATATCTGGAGGAGCCAGTGGTGGGGACAGGGCAGACAGAGAGGGTCCCAGGACCCCACAATCCATCTAGTCTGGCACCGCCACCCTCACCTGGATTTTAGGATGGCTTAGATCAGAACACACCAAGAGAAAAACTAGCCAAGGACATGAACTGGAAACTCATAAAAGAATAAACATTGGCCAATAAATACATGAGAAAATACTAGAGCTCACTAAAAATCAAAGAAATTCAGATGAACACAAGACTCTCTTTTTTGGCCAATGGGACTGGCAAACTGCAGTGCTGGCGAAGGTGTACCGAAACTGGCACTTTCTTATGTTGCTCGTGGGTGTTCAGATCGATACGTCATTCTGGAGGGCAGTTTTGCAGAATAAATTAAAATGACTTAAAAGACTCATACTCTTGGACTCAGCAATCCTCTCCCTGGAAGAACTTTCTTAAGGAATCCAGAGGGGGCATCCAGGGATTTATCTGTAAGGAAGCTCATCACAGTACCATTTATGAAATTGGAGAAAAACTGGAAGATGCCAGGTGTCCATGAACAGGGCATTAACATCTAAACACAGGTCAGTGACTTGTACAAGATATTTAATAACGTGGGGAAATGCCTGTATCATAATAAGTAGAAAAGGCAATTATAAAAATTATGAGAAATACAGACAGACCCATAAAAAGCCTGGAAGGGTGTACATCCTAAAGTTAACAGACATTATCCCTGGTGGAAAACTGAAAACTACAGCCCGTAATCTGAAATCAGGAAAAAAACATTAAAAAAGAAAAGACTATTTGGTTGAAGATCAGTAACAATTCCTTACTCTCGCTCAGCATCTCACAGCTCATAAAGTGCCTTCTTGTGCTAGCTGATTTCACTGACGTGCAGCGAGATGAGGAAGCCAAGGCTGAGACAGGTTCATTGGCAAGTCCAGACCGGGCCAGGCCTGGAAATGGTCTTTGGACACCTAGTCGAGTCCAATGTGTGCCCTGTAACATCACGGCTGCCAGACCTGATGGGCTCCTTCCTTCTTTCCCTCCTCTCCTCCCGCCTGCCCTCCCTCCCTCCCACCCTTTCTTCTTTCCCAACTCTATGTTTAGCCTTTCTTAAGGGTGAAACCCTCAGACTTTCCCTTCTGCCCTGAAAGGCTGCCAATCCCACTAGCTTGTTGGTCTAAAGATGCACCCCACTCTTCTGTCACATCCCACCCCTGCTGCTCTGGCTCCTTCCTGTGGAAGGCCCAGGGACTTGGATGGGTCCCTTTTCTGCGGCAGGGCTCTTGTGAGACCCAGCTGCAGCTCCAGACTCCCTGGGCTTCCTTCCCCCCAACAGAAGCATGAAGCCTCAGCTCTCCAGACTGTTACAAAGATGATGCCTCAAAGCATGGGGGTCCCGACAAGTCTAGTTGGGGCTGAGATGTGCTGACGCCGGGCTGGGAGCTGCCGGTCACCAGGCTTCATGGAAGACTAATGGGGAGGCGGGGAGTCCATGAGAGAGCCTCCGGAGGCCAGGCAGGGAGGCGGTGCCCACCCAGGGGCCCAGGTCCCTGCATCTCCGTGCCATGCCAGAGCCCTTGGTTCCCAGTGGTTTCCAGGGAAACAGCTAACACAATACAGATGGGCTGTATTTTTAGCAAAGCATCCTCTCCTCTCACCCCCAGCTCTTTCATTTCCCATCCTTTCTGATGGCTGCCCACTCATCCATCCATCTGGGTGGGGAGCTAACAGAAGGGTCCAACCCTGGAGAACACTTCCCCCATTAGAACTTTTTTAGCCACAAGCCTCCCTGAGCACCCAATTCGATTAACCGCCTCAGCAGCACTGGGGTATTCCTGTCCTCACCCAGGAGACTGCCCCCAAGTATCGTGGTGCTATTAGAAGGGCTGAGAGTGGGCAGAGCAGGGACAGATGGCCTGTGATGGAGGGGGTGGAGGGAAGAGGGCTGGAGAGAAACCTCAGAATCCAGAGAACTGGGAATGTCTCAGCCCATGGAAAAGAGCCCAGGCCCAGCAGGCCGTCACGTGCGGCTCCAGACAGAGGCTGGGGTGGACAGTCCCACAGGGGAGGCGCAGAGAAGTTTCTTCCTAAGAAATTATGATTTAAAAAAAGAGTCACTATTCAAAACAGAAACAGACTCATAGATACAGAGAACATTTGACGGCTGCCAGATGGAAGAGGGGTTGGGAGCCGGGTGAAAGGGTGAAGGGATTAGGAAGAACAGACCGGTAGTTACAGCATCGTCATTAGCACGGGAAGTCCAGCACAGGGAACACAGTCAATAACATTGTGACAACTGTATGGTGCCAGGTAAGTACTAGATTTATCGGGGGGACCACTTTGTAAGATATATAAATGTCTAATTAAAGGGTTGTACATCTGAGACTGATAAAATACTGTCTATCAATTGTAATTAAACAATAGAAAATTATTTTAAAAATTAAAAAAGGAGCCCTGACTGGTTTGGCTCAGCAGTTAGTGTCAGCCTGCGGATCGGAAAGTCTTGGGTTCAATTCCTGGTCAAGGACACATACTTTGACTCGATCCTCAACCTGGTCAGGGTTGTATGGGAGGCAACCAATCGATGTGTCTCTCTCACATCGATGTTTCTATCTCTCTCTCTTTCTCCCTTCGTTCCTCTCTCTCTCAAATCAATAAAGAAAAAAATATTTTAAAATAATCAATGAAAAATGTTCTCAAGTGTGGACTAACAACAACAACAAAAAAAATTTAAAAAGGAGTCACTACATAAGTTATAAGAAAGAGTCCTTGTTATGGAATTGTGCACCTGAAACCTGTATAATTTGGTTAACCATAAGGGTCACCCAAATAACTTCAATAAAAAGAAAAAAAAGAAAAAGATTTATTTTTAAATCATCACATGCACACCTTAAATTTACATGTTATATGTCAATTATATCTCAGTAAAGATAAGAAAAAAGAAAGAAAATGAGATTCCTATCAGTGTCCCACCAGGAAGCCTGGGTCAGGTCTGCAAGGGGTTAGGGAGCACCCCCTCCCTGCTCAGCGCTCCCTAACCCTGGCAACCTGACCCAGGCTTCCTGGTGGGACACTGATAGGAAGCACTTTTCACCCTGCCCTTTCTTTCCCCTCTGACCGATACCCTAAAGGCAATGCAGAGTGTTGGAACCAAATGGGCCTGGGACGACTTGCAACGCTCCGCTTACCCAGCTCAGCCTGGAGTCCTTGGACCATGGCCGACACTTCTACACCACTCAGTGTCTAACTTTGTTTTCAGCAAATCACTAAAAGGATTGCTTACCTGCAAAATGGGAGTGTTAGCCTCTCTCCTCAGAAAGCTTGGAGGTGCAAGAGACAACAGATAGAAAGTGGCTTTTCAATGGAAGATTTTTGTACCCATTTGGATGGGACAAACTAATTTAGCATTGGGGGTCTTCCTTACCTCCTCTGCCTACTTAAGACAACTCTGGAGTTATTTTCCTCCTGTCCTCTGTTTGAGGGAGGGTTCACACCTACTGGAGGGAGGCCCCGCTGATGTGCACAATAAAAGGGACGGGAGAGGAGACAGGGCCTCCGCACGCGGAGGACAGAGCCGTGAGGGGCGTGGGGGAGAGAGGCTTCCGGCCCCGGTAGGCTGTGCACTGCCGTCCAGTGTAGGCAGGGTCATTCCTGAGCCTGTTCAATACGTGCTTCAGTGAACTTGATCAGGAGCAGCTGCACAGCCTCTGGAGTAATGCAACCACTGAGTGGGGAGCAGTGCTCAGACAGGAGCAGGCGAGGTTTGGACATACATCTGGGGCTTTTCGGTTGTCCAACAGCTGGGGCTCCTACCAGCACTTAACGCCCTGCAGCCAGAGGTGGAAAGTGTCTGCGGTGCAGGGACTGCGCTCATAGGGAGGAATCACTGCCCATCCAATCCTATAACCGTCTCACTGAGAAATACAAGAACTGACGGACAAGAAAGGCAAGACATCACAGAGCCAAGTGAGGGTATGCAGGAGCAAGGACACGGGTGAAACAGGGAGGCAGGGAGAAACCAGTGTATGAGAAAGGGGGCCAGACTGTGGACCGCTTGTGTTCTTCCAACCACAAGAAGGAGGGACCTCTGGCAGGTCCTGGTCAAGTCACAGTGCA